ACCATCACCTCTCTGCTTTGCTATCTCAAAGCCTAATGATCCATGCAACCCATTTTTAAAGGACAGTTCGAAACATTTGTTGCAGGGGTGCCTGGATGGCTCAGTCGGTTAAGTGTCTGACTCTATCTCGGCTCAGGTTATGATCTCACGATTTGTGAGTTCAAGCCCTGCATCGGGCTCTGCACTGACAGCATGTAGCCTGCTTGGAATTCTCTCTCTGCCCCTCCCCTGCTTGTGTTTGTGCTCTCCCTCTCAAAATAAATAAATAAAACTTAAAAAAATTAAAACAAAACTTTTGTTCCCATTTTCTATTAAATGTTGAAGTTCACCTCCATTTAAAAAGTAGGCATAAAAGTGGGTATTGATGGGGGCTCCTGGGTGGTTTAGTCAGTTCAGTGTCCAACTCTTGATTTCGGCTCAGGTCATGATCCCAGGGTCGTGGGATCAAGTTCCAAGTCAGGCTGTGTGCTGAGCATAGAGCCCACTTAAGATTCTCTCTCTCTCTCTCTCTCTCTCTCTCTCTCTCTCTCTCTCTCTCTCTCCCCCCCCCTCTGCCCCACTTCCCCGTGCTCTCTCTCTCTCAAATAAATAAATAAATAAATAAATAAATAAATAAATAAATAAATGTGAGTATTGATGGAAAAGCTGAGATTTAATGCCAGAGGTACACTAATACCCCTCACTAGAGGAACTGAAAGTTCAAGAGGGGCAGACTGGTTGAGATGGCCACATGTCCCATGAAATCTGAGATATCACCACTCCAGTAGCTTCCTGTGTCAGTACCTACCCCTATTTCAATCCCCACAGACCTTGGCAGGAGATGATTCAGCAAGTCTTGACTTGGGCAAGCTCTTAGGCTCACATGTCATGATTATAGGGGGCCTTGACATAGACTGACTGCTTTTCCCAGGAGAAGAAAGAAACTAGAGTTTTGGTGCTCCCTCCCAACTCTTCTTCCTTTGTCTACCTCCCCTTCTCTACTATGACAATTTTTCTGGGAGCTCACATCTCAAACCCCACCCAAGGGTGCCTTCTTTAATTCACCCAGTTCTCTTCCTCTGGCCTGTCTTTACTAACAGTGACTGAAAAGCCCCCCTCTGAATTTCACAGACATAAAATGTCTTCTATACTGATGGATGGTCTTCTAAGAAAGATGAAGAGGCCAAGTATTCTGGATAAGGACCAAAGGGCTTTGTGGAAGAGCTAGAGGGCTGAAAGGAAGAAGCGAAGGGTGCCTACCACAGAGATGTGAATAGTGTCCAAGTACCTTGGGTCCTGAGTTACCTGTCTCTATCCTTCTGCCACTGAGGATTTTGGCTTACAAACTAGTGTGTATAGGTTGTACATATTACAGTGAGGGAAAAGAAGAGAGTTGGCAATGGCTGCTTTTTGGATTTTTGCACAGGGTAGTGATATTTTCCTGACTTGTTTGTCTATTCCCCCAGCCAAATACTTAGGTATTTATTAAGTGTTACTATGTGTGTAGACCTGTGCTTGATACTGAGGTTGGCCACAAAGAAAAGGAAGGAAGATCTTGCATTTCAAAAGATAACTTAGGGGGGGCGCCTGGGTGGCGCAGTCGGTTAAGCGTCCGACTTCAGCCAGATCACGATCTCGCGGTCCGTGAGTTCGAGCCCCGCGTCAGGCTCTGGGCTGATGGCTCAGAGCCTGGAGCCTGTTTCCGATTCTGTGTCTCCCTCTCTCTCTGCCCCTCCCCCGTTCATGCTCTGTCTCTCTCTGTCCCAAAAATAAATAAACGTTGAAAAAAAATTAAAAAAAAAAAAAAAAAAAAAAAAAAAAAAAAAAGATAACTTAGGGTACCTTTTAATGCTCCAAACATCTTTTAGAGTTGACACACCTCCATTCAACCCTGAGAACACTCTCCATTAGCTGGCCCGTTAGGCTACCATAAATCATGAACTATAATACACAAAAAATAGATTTTACCAACAGCACAAAAGTGCGTCGTTTACCAGTCACCCTCAGATAATATAACTGACCAGACATGCCCTACAGTGGACCTTCCCTAAGGCCATATGCCTTGACTTCAATATCCTAATATATGCATGTACCACTAAAAAATGTCCCAGGAAGTTCAGCAGTGGATGAATTGAGTCAGAAAAACATTATAGTAGAAAAACACACACTGGGTTATGTTAAAGGATCATAAAATGTGGCTTGTCCAAAGCTAAGGAAGTAGGTGGAAAATACTTATCAGTAACCATTCTTTTTTCTTTTTTCTTAACATTTACTTATCTTTGAGAGACAGAGAGAGACAGAGCATGAACAGGGGAAAGGTAGAGAGAGAGAGAGAGAGAGAGAGAGAGAGAGACAGAATCTAAGCAGGCTCCAGGCTCTAAGCTGTCAGCACAGAGCCCGATGCAGGGCTGGAACCCACAAACTGTGAGATCATGATTTGAGCCGAAGTTGGACACTTAACCGACTGAGCCACCCAGGTGCCCCTATTAGTAGCCATTCTGATATTTGTGCCCCTTTCTGTGTGTTGGGGTGGGAGTAGGATGGGGAAGGGAGGTAGGACTTTAGGGCCCATGAATTCCAGGACTGTTCTGACCACCGAGTTGCAGCAGCTGTGGCAACAACAAACAATTGGTCATTATCACAACTGTGATTTCTATCTTGCCTCTAGTTCAATGTTGAATAAAGTGCCTGAAAATACTTAATGAAGAGGCTTTTTTCTGTGTCAAAATAAAAACAAATGGCATTCTATACATTCTTCAAGGTTGAGCTAAAATTCTCCTTTATAAAAACCTTTCAGACTAGTCCAGCTTCTGATATCTCAGCAACCAGAGATAGTAACTAAAAGTAGAATCCCTACCCCTTTATAGGAGCGAAGTACAGAAGGCACCCATCTCTTCAATTCTATCTAGCTTAAATGACCATGAGACTCATCCAAGCTTAGACTAGTGCAGTAGTCTAATTAATCTTCCAGCCTCCAGCTTCTCTCCTCCTTTGTGTCTTATGTTTAATCACCCATGGCTTGTGCTGTTCTCGGATCTTTTGCTGCAGGCTCACTCCAAATAATCAGGAACTGTCCCATGAACCAAATGAGATCTCCTTTTTCTAAAATGACTCAAGACTGGAAATACCTAATGTAGATTCAAAGCTAATTCAAATCAGTAGATTCAAAGCTTTTTCCCCCCTTGGCCAGGATAGAGAACTGGATAAACTAAACTAATAAATAATACTCTGCCAGAACTTTCACCTGTGCAAAGTTGAATCACAGACTGATGCATCTTACGAAACTGTCTCTATTGAGAATAAAAGAAAGCGAGTATCCATCCCACGTGTAGGGATGTTAAAGTTAGATCAACACTCCCAGCCTTTCCCCTCTCAGGTCACCTTTTCCAAATGAATGTGCTGTGCAGCTACTCTGAACACTGAGTGTGGGACACCAGTATGCCAAGTTCATTCTTGCCAGTAAGGAAGTGAAAAGGGGAAAAGTACTTAAAAGTCCCAAATGTGAATCATTTAAAAACACAGAAACAATTATTCATTATCCATGGGTGGATTATCTGTGACAAAGTTGTCACCCCAGCTGGCTGCCTCTTACCACCTAGCATTCTTTGCAGTTGGTCTTCCTACGTCTCTGTTTGTTAGGTCTACGCACTCTTCCATGGCTCCTGTAACTCCCATCTCCGTGGCCACCTGAAGAAAACAGTGCCTTCATTCATAAATACTCAATCCAGTACCCCCAACATCGTCCCTGAAAATGTCTCTCAGTGCAAAAGGAAAACTGGTGTCAGCCTCAGGGGCCACTGTGCCCTGACTTCTCTCTCCAAGGATCTTTCACTCCATATCACTGCCCTCACAGCATGGGCCTCTGAGGTTAGGGAGGGAAGGAAAATGTTCCCTCCTTAACACTCGGGCCTGAGCACAGACACAAAACCCTTCTCTGTATTCCTCCCAGCACAGCCAAGGAAGGGCTGGGTTCTCCAAACCCTGCTCTGCTAGGGCAGGGGGACAGGAAGAGGGCGGAAAGCACCCAGAGCAGTGGACTCTGTTTTATACCTTCCGTATCTGCATGAATTGCCTTTGAAAAGGCAGTTCTGTTCTCTCAAAAGAAGTTGGAGAACCACTTTTCTGATCCATCATGCATCTGCACTTTGTTACAAATAGAAATGACAAAATGACAAAAAAAAAA